GAGGAGCTTAGAGGGCGACGCACGCCGCGCCACGCCGCTCCACGCCCGCTCCCGGCCGCCCGGGCGACGCCACGGCGGCGACGCTCTTTGATGGCGGCGCCGGGCCGCTCGCGCAGCGCCACCGCCCCGTCCTACCCCCTGCCTCGCGCGGGCCGATCTGCGCTTCTTCCCACTCTTCCTAACCCTCGTGCACACCCTCACCCGCCTCGCCCGCGCTTCACCTTTTTGCCTCGCTCCACCCCGCCTCGCCCCGTCCAGCTTCACCCCGCCTCGCTTTGCCTCACGCACACCACCATCACGTACGCCTTCCGCCTCGCCTCGCCTCAGCTCACTCACTTCCCTCTCCTTACCTTCGTCACCTCACCTCACCTCACCCTTGCCTTGCCTCACCTTTGAGCCTCGCCTCACCTTGCCTCACCTACTCACCTGCCACCTTACCTCACCTTACCTCACTCTTACCGTCACCTTACCACGTACGCTTACCTTCGCCCTACATGCTCCTTTACCTCAGCCTTATCCTCACCTTACCTTGGCCTTACCTTACTCCGCTTGACACACTCTCACCTTCGCCCCGCTCCAGCTTGCTTCACCCCGCCTCAGTCCTCCTCACTATCGACATGCACACCTTCACCCCCTTCCGTTGTATCTCTCCGTTCTTCACGCTTCTTCTACCAATTCCACAAACTGCTGCTTGTTCTCGCCGACCCTTCTCCGCCTCGATAAGCTTCTTCCGCATCTCACACGGCTTTTCCTCCTCCACACCGTCACCTCCGCGCATCTCTGCGCCTACCGCACGCATCCTCATGTTCTCTCACCTCGTCTCAAACTCGCCTCGCAATCTTCCCGGCCTTCCTCTGCTTTTTTCGTCCTTTCACGCTCACCGCCCTTCCACTTTTGCCCAATGTCTTGTTTTAGTCTCGGACGTTATCAACCAGGAACTATCCCCGAAGAACTGCAAGGCTACGCGCCGCATCTTCAAGGAGCAATGCAATAATAAAAGACGGCGTCTGACAAGAGCAGTAATACTTTTTCTTCTACGCACTTGAGCAAGTACATTAATTTGATGGCGAGTGAAAAAAGAACGGAAAGGGTATAAAATCAATGTAAGTAGAATTAGTATCTCTTAATCATCATTTTGTAATTGTAATAAACTTGACAATATTGTGTCTGTGTTGAGACACAATATTGTCTGTGCAGAGACTGAGCTTTTTATAGCATAAGGGAATAGTTTAAAAGAGTGTGTATTGTCTCTTAGATTTTCCAAGATTTGTTTGAAGTGATTCATATTATTTTCCCTATTTTTATTTTTTCTTGACGATTTGAAAAAGAGGATTAGTAGGAGGTTTCTAGTATTAAATGGGGTAATCAAAAACTTCATGCTGGTGTTTATTGTATTGTTAGAGTATTACAGCCTCAAAAACTCCACTCCTTGACATCAAGAATTTCTTGCTTGTGTTATTGCCTAGTGTGAGGTAACGATACATTTTCTTATTAAATTAATAAACAAAGAGGTAATTACAATACATTCGATCAGAACGCATGTACACATCCCACCAAAACTCTTGCGATTTTCGAAAAATCAAGGTTGTTAAAGAAACTGCACCATTCTCTTAAAGGTCCATCACACTATTCAACAATAAAATTTAAACAAAAACGATTGAGCTTATTTTTTAAATTTTGGAAATGTAGTAGGGGCTTCATGTAAATACTTACCAAAATTAAAATATTATTGGTTTCAAATTTAAGTGGCCGCGACATCACCCAGATCGATTGAGGAATATCAATTTTGGAAAAAATGGCTGAATGATTCAACCGCTAGCATTGTTCAGACCGAGAGATGGATAAAGAAACGGACAGGCGGGCGGACGGACAGGAAGACGTTTTACCGTCAGCCGACTTTTCGGTATCAACGACCCACGACACATGGACTTTGGATACATCATGTGTCAGTGGATTTTTTCCCCTAAACGTAGCAACTGTATATTTAGATAAATTTAGATTCCTAAATTTAGACTCCGAGACATACTCCGTAGAGAGAAAGTAAAAGTTTTTGTCAATTTTTAGAAAATGCTTAAAATTTAGAAGCATCATCAATCTCCAAAAATCAATATCCGTTTCAAACTCTGAGGGCCTCGAATTCGATCAGATTAATCAGGCAACATCATCTTCTTAGAGAATCATCTGAAGCGGTTAGGAGCTACCGTTGACCAGACAGGTAGACACGTTTCGCCGTTATTAGTTTTTTGGGAACCATGATCCCATATAATGCGGATTTTGATCATACACCGCATTAGAGGAAATAATTTATTACATATGTGAACTCTATTTATCCACTATTTTCGTACCAGGGATGTGCTAGTTTTTACAATACGAGTTTATCTCTAGCGATTTTCGTAACCTCATATGTAGTGAGGCGAAAAGTAAAACGATACAACGGGATACTTTGGTTTTACAATAATTATGAAGATTTCCGAAATTTAGGCGAAACTACTCATATTTTCACAAAAACATTACATGCCCATAATTAAAGATTAAATTTTGAAGACGAGATTTTACGAAGTAAACTAGTAGTATCACAATAACAGAGACTTTCTGGGACTCGTTAGTCGTGTTTATAACTGTAATCATTTAGATTTTTCCCCACCTACTTCCCTTCTGCTGGCCTTACATTTCTTTCTTTCTTTCTTTTTTTTTTTTTCAATTTTTCAATTATTCGGATTCCTAACAAATAAAATACGATTTAAGAATATTGTTGAAGAGCAAAATCTGGTTATATAAGCACATTTTTGTAAAATCAAAAAAAATACACCAAAATGTCTTTTATATCACGTAATTCAGTGAATTAATACTATCCGTTAAAAAAATTGGAACCGTGTTTTGAAAAAATAATCATTTTTATAATATCCCATATTTGATTCTCAATTGCGATAACATCACTGAGCTTATTGGCAAATAGTACACAACTGTATTTAATTATGTGACTTTTAAGAACATTTTATTCAGAAGTTGTTGTAGCAAGACGCCGAAAAAGTTTAAACTTTCGCTATTTGCGAAAATTTAGAGAATTCTACGAAAATGGGATCTGCCTCCATTTTGTAAGCGTTCTCTGTTCTATACAAGGAAAAAAAATAAACATTCATTGAAGATCTTTTGGAGAAAACTGAAAATGTTGCGGATTTCTGTAATGTTGCCCTTAAAATATAAATATCCGTTTTAAATTCTTGGAACCACGATACCATTCAGATCAATCGCTGATTATTGATTTTGGTGAAAATCCTGTCTACACTACACCACCCCAAATATTATCCCCGCAGAAGAAAACCAACGACTACGGAGGGCAAACGTCTTGGTGGAGGATTTCAAAGGGCCACCCGGGCACATAGCGAGTTTTCACGGCGGCCCTCACGTCGTTAGCTTAATGGTGGAAGCAGTAAGTACGCGGTGCTAAGCTCCGTGTTACCGGGTTGGACAGATTATCCGCCAGTTGGGCTTCTATCTCGTCACAGTTTGACTGGTTGAGCTTGGTCGAGTTGTTGGGCTTCTATCTCGTGTCGGTTTGACAGATTAACCACCAGTTGGGCTTCTATCTCGTCGCCCTTTGGGCGCGGTTGGGCGGAGGACTTGTTCCGGATCTCGCATATAAAAGTCCAGACGGGGAGGATGCCTGGCTGTTGGGTTCCGGTGGTACGTCGATAGCTTCAAGGACGATGCAGTGAGGAGCCGGTTTGGGGTTCCGGTTTCCCCAGCCCCTAATTCCCTGGTGCACTTAAGTTGACCACTTGGCTTCGTCGTGGCTGCGGCCCAATACTCTGGACTCAGATGAGGGGGTTATCTCGGGGAGGGTGGCACATTGTTTCGACTCCGCCACTCGCCTGGAAAGGCAGGAGCTCTGAGTTGGCAGGGCGGCCCGACCTAGGCATTGAAGGTAAACTGCGTTCTGGTGGTCCTGGATGTCAGCCTGTGGGAATACGTGTGCGTTGGCGGGTGGTGCGGATAGGGGCTAACGACTGGGTGCTCTTCCCAGAGAGAATTCCCCCTGGTAGAAATTAAGGTGTGGGTAAATAGAACAGCAGAGAATCTACTATACCAAATATAAAACAAGATATTTACAGTATGCATCAATACAATGGTTTAGTTTAATTTATTGTAATATTTATAATGAGAAAATAGTTTCATACAAATCTACATTTTTTAACATTTTCTTAATTTTTTGGTCCCCTAAGCATATAATTAAAATAGGACTATAAAAGCATCTTACATCTGATTCTTAGGCAAATATTAGTTAACAATTATAGACATTTTTAAAAAGATTTTGTTCGGGCGTTTATGAAATTGCCCAATTTTCAGATCATTTACATATAAATATTTTAAGTTTTCGAGTAGGTTTTTAAGAAATCATTTGAGGTACGTACTCACAAATGCTTTGACGTAAAAATGTCTTATGTAAACATTAAGACAGTGAGAAATATGCACAATAATGCCTTTTGTGTAATTTTTGAAACATCAAAAGATTACATCAAATTTGCTTATGTCATGTTATACAATGCTTTTAGAAATATTTGTACAAACAGTTTTAATAGAGTTGGAGACTTTTAAAAACAATATTCTTTTCAATATTGTCCACATATCACTCAAAATTGCGCGAACACTGCTAATATATCTGAAAACTTTGTACAATAGACTTACTGATTAAATAATTAATTGTCAAGAACAAATTTTTACTGGAATTGAACATCTCTATATTCAGTGAAGTTTTAGAAATCAAGAAATAAATTTTTCGAAGCCTTGCATAATATTTTCAATTATTGCTCTCATAAGTCCTTATATACTACGTACCGATTAAAAAAAATTAAATGTATAACAATAAAACAAAGCAACATCGGAATTAAGCAAAGCAACTCCATACAAACAAGGACACACCTAACAGAGCTAACAAGGTGTGTATCACGAATAAGATATTTAGTGTTTTTTGTCGTATTACGTTTTCATATTCGTACGAAATGACACTGTTAGAATTTGTTGGTTGCATGTTAGTGTCATTCTCTCCTTTCTTTGCGATGTTTGCTGTGACAATTGCATCCGATCCAATCAGAATAATAATTTTATTTTCGAGGTAAGTAGGTAACATGTAAGTGTGAATGATGTTAATGCATGTAATTTATTTTACAAGTAACATCAAGTCACATCACGTCATGTAATCTTTTTTAGTATTTATCAGAATATTTTCTCTTTTTTTCAGCGCATTTTTCTGGTATTTTTCTTTATTACTTCCCTGTTTGTTGTGGTTGTTGGCTCCAGGAGAGGTCAGATGGGTTTTAGGGTTAGTTACAGCCGTATTGTTACAGGAACTTTTTCGCATAGTTTTGTATAAGTTTCTTCGCCGAATAGTGACCTTACGCAAGAGGCGACGCATGGTGTCTTACGGTAAGTCTTTTAGTGATTTGACATGGAATGTATCATTTCATGATGGCATTACCGTTCTTTATCCAGGTATTAAAACTTTTGATTGATTTAACGATCTTCAGAAGTTCTTTGGCCAATCAGCATGCTTCATGGGTGTCAGAGTTAGCACACTGACTAAAATAAAAGTTAACAGTTTTAAACTTTACGTATATAACAGATAATTGGTATTTATTTACATATAATAGTTCGGAACCGTTGCGCACAATACTACTCATGAAGTTTGCCTGTTGTTGGGTGTGACGTTAAAATGTCTAATTGCACAATCTATTGTCAAAAACTAGCCCTCAGTGGCTCGTTGGTTAGCGCGCTTGCTTTCTACGGCTCAACACCGGGATCGATTCCCGGCTGGCCCAAACTAATAACTCTGTGCTTTCCTTACAAATGTCTCAGAATCTATCAGATGAGAAAACTCATTTATGAGGTTGAGAATACTAGAAGAAAGCGTAGGGAAGGCTATGTGGTAACCACACGTACCCATTTACCCATTAGGGGGGCCACTCCATTAATCAGCAGGAAAAGCTGGAAAGACAGGATCAAATCTCTCCTGACAAATGCTGAACTCAGGAGGTCCCAGTGAAAGCAAAAGGTTAATCTCTGCCGTAGTGCACTCAAAAATGCTGTATGCCGCACCAGTCTGGGCAGATACGCTAGCTAGAGTCCATTCGACGGAAATTCACACAGATCCAGAGAAGTATGGTTCTAAGGATGATCTCAGGATATCGCACGATATCTGACAGTGCAGCCTTAGTACTGGCCAGTGTCCCCCAGTGGACCTTGTAGCCCAGGAAAGGAGGACAATGTACCTGAGGGCGACAGCAGATAAACAACAAACGCTGTCCAAAAAACAATTAAACAATATCAATGCGGAATTGAGACACCATCTCCTGCACGCTGAAAGCCCGATATGCGCACTATGCAATGAAGGCGACGAAGACGCTATGCACACCATATATAGTTGCAAAGCATGGGAGGAAGAAAGAAGAAATTGTTAAAGCAAATTGCGACGGGAATTAATGCCTGCAAACACAGCCCAGACTATGCTGCAACCCAGAGACAACTGGAAAACAGTGCGAGACTTCCTGGCTCACGTACTAAAACAGAAAGCTACTACTAAAAGTAGGGAGAGCTAAAATACCATAGCGACCATCTGAAGAGGAAAGCTCATGCTCTCGGCCAATCTTCTGCGTGAAATAATATCTCAACGACGGCCCCGCGCAGAAGATACCACGGCCATATGAATCGAGAAGGTTAGGTTTTAGTCGGTATGCCACGCTGGAGAGTCCGACTTAACTGGACTTACCGGTATGTGTAACGCATTTCCCCCTCCTCGGAAAAAAAGATAATAATGATAATGATAATAATAATAATAATAATAATAATAATAATAATAATAATATTCTGCAAAGGAGAATATTGCTTAATTCCAACTGCTGTATGTAAGATCCCGCTCTTTTCATGCTCGTCTTTGCATAGTATTTCCTATACGCACAGGTCACGAAAACAAAGTGCGGGTTTTTGTAACTCCTAGATTTCAGTCCAAACATTTGTTCTACGAAATCGTATATCCTAAATAATATATATTTACAATGTGCGTGCAAATTTGTTTTTATTTTCACAGTAGTGAATACTATGATAAGTATATAAAACGCCCATTAGTTATTTCTCATTTTAGAATCACGTTTAATTGTTGCGATATTGTATATTTAAAAATAATTGCTTATATAATTTGAATTGTATATATTTATTCTGTGTACGCAGTATCTGGGCTTGGATTTGGAGCTATAAGTGGTGCATTTGCGATGTTGAACCTACTGGCCGATGCAGCAGGCCCTGGAACCGTGGGGATACACGATGCCTCGGAACTTTATGTTCTCTATTCGTCAGCAGTGACGTGCTGTATGATTCTTCTTCACGTGTTTTGGAGTGTCATTGCATTTGCGTCCTTGGATCACGGAAATTATTTCGGAATATTTTGGGTTGTTGGATCACACATGTTTGTCTCTTTACTAGTAAGATTTTTAAAGAATAGATTAGAGTATAATGGCTGTAGATAATAATAAAAATGAAATATTGTTTTCTGTTGCAGACGTTAGCTATGGAGAAGACAGATAATGAAAGAAGTTTGTACTTGATATTTATTGTTACTGCTGCAACTGGGGTACTAACATTTATAACAATGGGTGGGACTCTAAGACGTTTAACAGACAGTTTCTGCACGTGTGATCGTGATATTCATTCATCATAATTATTTAATGTTGGAATTTTCAAGGGGTTTACACATTGTCGATTTACGAATCGATTCCAATCCTTTTATACATTGTCGATTGCGAGAATATATTTGACTTACATTTTCACTGATGTACAAAATGCATCTCGTTATCGAAGGAAGAAAAATATAGAGTAATAAAATATTGAAAGTCTGTAAATACGAATGAAATGTCTCAGGTGTCCAAGAAAATACATTCATAATTATTTTTTAAATCTTGGTTTTGAAATGTTTTAAATGTATACGAAATATTGTACTCTTGTATAGTTGGATTCGATTACTGATTCTCACGAACCTGCAAAAAGTGCGAATTAACTTGATATACTTATTTGAATACTAGTGAGGAATTAGGTAATAAAAATTAATATGCACTTCCCGTTTCGGTTTGAAACCATCTGAAGGTTCACCATTTTTGGTTTACTTATCATATTCGAATTAATCTCATTCGATTAGCGATGAGTCGTCACAATTTGGCACCACCCAATTTATTTCTAATGTATCCATTTATATATTTCATAATCACGATCTTTCCGGATCTTCCATCAGCTTAAAAATACTCTTAAATATTTTCAAAAACTTCCTTCTCACTAAGTGATTTGTAGCATTCTTCCAACATAATTTCTTTCAAATTGCCGTTCATATTAGTTCATTTGATTATCTAATTAATTTTGGAAACTATCTTAATGCTTATTTATTATTTTGTTCAATACACATTATCTCATCTACCTAATTAACACATACGGTGCATGTCTAACAACATAAATTTTGCAACGACGCTATTGTCGCATTATTATAGAATTCTGTATCATTAATCTGGAATAATAATTGTCTTTGGCATTCACACGACTTTATAGACTTGTATCATTTTAGAAAAACACACACTGAGTCTTCTAATGCTTCTTCGACAATTCCTTCAAGGAACGTCACTTAAAAAAACGACGATTGTGAATGGCCTTGTTCCAAATTTCTTTATAGTTCCCGTTTTTTATCCTCGGCTCTATGCTACTTTAAAAACCACTTTATATGGGGAGTAGAAGTCTATCTTTCTTTCCCCGTTTCGCTACGCTAATATTAACGAGAGCTATCAGGAAAAGCAACTTGGTCTCCTCACGTCCGATGCAAACAGTTTACATATTAAGCGGATCCTCATGTAAAGATTTTGATGATTCACTAACAAAATTATAAGATTTTTTTCCAAGTGAATTTGAAATTGCAACAGATGTTTTTTTCAGCGTGTTTTCACATTCTCTACTATAGTTCTTGGATGAAAAATTAACACGTAATCTTGGCCGTCGACACTGGCTCTCTTGTCCTGCTTCCGTTCATCTAAATTTCAACGGTACTTGCTTTGAAAGCGGACTTTGTCGCTCCGCCTAGAAACAGGTCGACTTAAAGAGGAACCATCCAACTCAACTTCAATACCTTTGTTACTGATTTCTTGCAAAATATGATACATTTACCAACTCAAGAGTGAGATTTTACAATTTACAATAAGATAATTTGAAGATATTTAAAATATATCTGGGTGTATTATGTTGCCTTCTTAAGGCCAATATTAAGTGAATTCGTTTTAACACAGTTTAAAGCGTAAAATAATGATTTCTATTTTAATGGACAATATTTATCTATACCAAGTCTTTTATTAATTTAAATACTATTTTCTTCAAAGTGCACATGCTCTCCAAACGATCTGAACGCTCTCGAAGCCCTGCGAGTTTGCAATCATATTTTGATTTTTTGGGGGTACTTTTTTATGAAGTGTCAACATGATTTTAAATTTGTTCTCGGAAATTTCTCCAAAATGTTTATTAAACTTTGTTCTCGTTTTGCATAAAAACTCTAAAATTATAGCGCAGGTGCCACTTTCGTTGAATTCTCTGAATTATCGAAAATTGAACAGTTAAACATAATGCGAGAACATATGTACTGTTATAGCACCCCTATGAAAAATACTACAATACTTTCTTATGAAAAACTACTCAACAGTTTTAACATTGAAAACAAAAGTTTTTTGATAATCCTAGGGAGAGATACAAATTTTGAAAAAAAGATCCTAATAACTTTCGAACTTTTAAATAAATTAAATTATTGAAAATAGTATTAGTGTATTCGTGTTGAAAAAAAAAGCTTAGATGATTTCAACATTAAAATGTGAGCGCTGGGCCTCGTGCTAAATCTGCGGAGTGAGCGTGCGGGGGCGAGGGCATCTGCAAGATGGGGGGCGGGAAAGGTTGCGGTAAGATCGGCCGCCGCCCGCCAGGGTGGTGCGATGCGATGCGCCCCCTCCCCGCTCGACTCCGCCTCCTCTCCCCCACCCAGCACCAGCACCTTCAATGTCTAACGCTAGCCGTCAGAAGCGGAGGGTTTATGAAACTGGTTCCGGTTTACGGCGGCGAGTAGGCGGGTTGTTGGTTTGGAGATGTTAAAATTTGATTCTTTCCTGTCGTAATGAAACGAATACATTTTAGCCGTGTCTCCGGTGTTATTTCGGCAATGAGGTACAATTGTTACTGAAGAATATCACATACAGAATGCAAAATATGTTATTTGAATCATCATTAAATTAAGAACTATCGAAGAAATCAGTATTACTCAATTAAATATAATATTACATGTTGTGTGATATAATTAGTGTTATGTTATCAGTGACACTAACTCTATAATTCTGGAATAATAATACAAACGTTAAGATATAACTTCGATCGTTTAATGGGCTCAAGCCATCCTTCTGTTCCAACTTCCGTCAACTCTAGTGTTGCGCAAATCCTTTGCTAAATGCTTCCTCATTCAGTGCTTCAATGCAGAAAAACTTCGGCAGCAGTAAGAGAACACAGATGTTGAGAAAATATTAAGCTGGAAATACAGTAGAAATATAAATAATTTAATTGTTTTATTAGGGTTTTTAAAGTGCTGCTCAATAGATGAACAGCTTGAGGAAGACAGTTGTCACTAAGTATCATTTTGTAACAAATGCAATAAATGTTTAATGCTTGGACTAATTCCCAAAGTTATCTTCTCCCAAGCAGACAGTTTACAATGAGCGAATTCGAATATTATAGTAATTATTTAATAAAATAAAGAATCATTCCACATGATCAATGTACATGATTGATGCAATTCATAGGCTAAGAACGGAACGGTTTGTGTGTATAATATTCCTTTAACCGATATATCAACGACAAACCAATTGTGGCATTGTTTTGTTCTTGTTTTTCTTCGAAGTGATAAAGTAATTCTATAGAATTATATATTCTATAAATAAAATAAACAATTAAATACGTACGAAAGAGCAGGCTTCCGTGGCCGGAGACAATAGAAACTTTTCTGTACAGGAGACGTGTCCTAGGCAAGTTGCCAACGTTTCGCCCGTCATTTTCAGGTAGATCGTAATATTCTGACGTAAGTCGCAGTGTTGACAACTGTGCCAAGAATGCGGCGTTCCAGACAGCCATGTTTCTAATGAAATACGTACTTCCTTGTCTGCACCACCGCCGCCGTTCTCCTCAAGACGGCAGCCATCTACCGCAGTTCTTTTAACATTTCCACTATCTCGCGGCTGCTTCCTCCAACACCAACAGACTGCCGCCGACACCGTTATTTACACTGCCGTCCATCACCATTCGCCTCCACCATTATCCCCTTTATCGTTGTTGTCGCTGCCACTGCCCCACTATTATCACCATCCTCACCGCCAACAGAGTTAAAGTCAAAGTCACCACCATCACCTTCACCGCTGCCGCCGCCATAATATATTTTTTAGTCATCACCCCTACATCAACTTCTATTGTCGTTTCGGAAACCACGACAACTACTTGTTTTTTCTGCCGACACCTCTACCTCTCTTTGTCTGCGACCTTTCCGTGTAACCGATGCAAATTACACCCCTACATAGCCTCCCTCCATAGACGCAGTCCCTTGATATACGTAACCACCTCCACTACTATAACCACCACCACCACTTCCTCCTTCACGCCCCATAACCGTCAGCCCTCCAATAGCGCTGTTACCTCCATCTTTCTGCAGTGTCAGTCTCTCCAAAGACACCACCAGCTCTATCGGGCAGAGCTTGGTTAATTGATAAGTGATTTCGTGTGCGTCAACTGCTAGGGTCATTAGCCCTCTGAGGGACGGTTATATTTCCGCGCTGGCTGACAATATCCGCCGCCGACTTACATCGGCTTTTGGTGATCTTCCCCAACCAAGTATATTCCACCAACGTGGTACGCTCCAGCCGGGACAAGCTTTAAGCTCCCAACTGGTCTCCCGATAAATGTGATAGTATAATGTAAGTGTATGTAAGTAAGGGAGGAGGATCGGGCAAGGAATAGGAAGGAAAGATCGCGTGTGATCCGGAGCCCGTTTGTTAGGTTCTGCTCCGGTATTCGTCTGGTGTTAATCGGAGAAAGCACGGAAAACTGGAAAACTATCTACCAGAGCAGCCAGCCGCTAGAATTCTCTAGTCAGCAGCTGAATTCATACTAGCTATGTGGCTAGTGTCATAAATCCTGCCACCGCCGGGAGTGGAAGCCTAAGACCTCCAGGCGAGAGGCCCTGCAGTGACACGAGTTGATGCGCTGAGCCTCCTCCGGCCCCCTCCACAGCCACCGCCACCGCCGCCACCTCCACCTGCGCTCGCCGCCGCCGCCGAGAGGCTCATCCCCAGATGGACGCGCAGGGGGGTGGAGGAGGCGGGGGGGGGCTGGCGGCGGCTGCGGTCACGCGCTCGTGACAGGTCGCCCGCGAGCGCCTCACTCGAACCCCTTCCCCCTCCCTCTCCCCCCTCAGCACGCGCGGGGCGCGGCCGACGCCCTCCGGCCAGGTCGAATGTGCACGACGGACCGACACTTCGCACACGCTTCCTCATTTGGAATCAATTAGAATTTGGGTAGGGTCCGGTTCCGAATAAATACAATGAATAAACGTAAAAAATTATAACATATATAATAATAACAATGAAAATAAAATTCAATATCAATTAC